TCTCTTAATGAGATGTATATCTAAGTGTCAAAATATGCTACTGTATCTAAATTACAAAATCCACAACGACATCCAATAAAAAGATAGTATCAAAATTTAGATTTGCACTACAAAATACATAAATCCTATCAAAATAAAATCATAGTGCAAAAAAATGTATTACAAATTAATTTATTAGTTATATTGGACTGTAAATTAGTTATATCAAGACTGTAATTAATAATTGATATAATTATTGTTAAAGATATTACATTATTAATAAAAATGTAACGTAAACTTTTGAATCAAGTTTACGTTATCAAAATTTAATCTCCAGCTTCATTTTATTAGAAATATTTAGACCATGCTTGATTCTGAAGATACGAATTACAAACTGACCATGAACTAAAGCCCCCCAGACTTCCCTGCAGAGAAATAAACTAGGATGGAAACAATAATGGAAAACTGAACTGAAACCAAATACATAATTGGCTAAGTTGAAAAGAATGATAGTGATACTTTTGTTATGGTTAAGTTGATAAGATCCTCTCCACTGAATACCTGAATACCGTCATTGTAACAGTGTCTCACGAAACAATGTTTAGTTTGTATTACCAAGAAAGAGAATACTGTAACAAAATATTAAGGAAACATAGAGGATAAACAACCTCCCAAGATGCCTCAATGGAGTACTAAAATTAAATAACAATTTGTGATAAACTCATTATTGATGCTGTTGGTTATAACAATAATAATATAATAAAATCAGTTATCTGCTTCTGCTGTACTGCCTGGTTTAGTAATGTAACAAAGAAAAATAGTAATCAAATTAAGAAAATAACCAGAGTGGCAGAAAAAATAATTGGTATGGAGCTTCCACATATTGACAGTTTCTGGGATAAGTCAGCCCTTATGAAATTAGAAAGAATATTAAAGGATGAGTCTACCCATCAAATGGTTACTTAACTTTTAACAAATCAGGAAGAATTCAACAAACTACTGTCAAAACAAACCAGTTAAAAAATCCATTCATACTAGACACATGTCAGCTCTAAAATAATCAATTCTCTAGAATTAGTCTTAGGTACCATAGCTGCTTAAGTCCATTCCACTGTCTTTCTATCTACAGTAGTTAAGTTAGTTTTTGGTGCTAATATTTTATATAATATTTATATTTATATTTTTGTGTTATGTATGTTATATTGTTTTATTATATACGCACAGGAAAGCAAATTGCATGTATATTTTTATATGTGACGAATAAAATCTATCTTGAATCCTAAATCTTGAACAAGTTTACTTTAGATTAATTTTGTACAGATAAGGTGGTGATGAAGAACACTATGTGATTCATTAGGGATCCCTGGTCCTCACCATATCTTGGAGCGTATTTCTACTGCAAATCAAGAGAGAAATGGTACTTTTACCATTGGTTGACAATTCAATTAAAATAGACAGAGAGACCACCAACCACCCAGAGGTTTTTAACACAATAACCATATATTTTTACACATGGTGTACCAAAAGCTTTACGATTTTGTTATGGCCATAGTCATTTATATAGTGCATACTACAATGCAATGTCTTATGCGCTTACAAACCCAGTGTCATGACAACAAAAAAAAAAGGATTTTATGTTATGTTATGGATAATAAAATACAGTATATCAAAATCTTGTTTGAGGGTTTGCATGAGGAAGTAATGATATATTAAATGCTTGCAGTACACCAAGTAGATATTCTGAAAAAACTGTTGTTTTGTTGAGAATATCTTGACATTTCGATTGAGTTGCTTCAACCATCATCAAAATCATACCAACTGAGAACAGATTTATTTTGTATAAGATTATTTTTTTTTAAATTTTTCTTCTCATGAATAGTTCTATCTGTCAACAGGTCCTCATCAGCATTGCTTGGTGAGTCATGCTGATGAGGACCTAATAACTAACAGGTAAAAATGTTCATGTGCACATAAAATCGTGTGCTTCATAGTCTACTCCATTTCCTGTTTGATTTGTCATTATGTTCGCATATCATGAACACACATAAATGCCTCTTCATTATTATCATTTTTACTGTAGGTCTACTTATTTTCTCTTCATCTTTCTTACTACAGGGATATAATATAGTGTAAATCTACCATAATATGTAATATATATGACCAGTATTTTCTTCTTTAGTTTCCTAATATTTAGTGCAATATTAAACTACGGTAATTTGTCCAGCATTCATTCATATAATAATTTGTCAATAAAGTTTTCCATAGGTATCCCATACCATAATAATCATAGTTTAATAAGTTAATAGAGTACACATACATTTAATATTACTAATAATATGATTATTATATCTACCAGTACCATGTTAAAACTTATAAATTAAACGACTTAATCTTAAGGGGATTATTGGTATTACTTTTACGCAATAACAAGTGCATGGAGGATATGTTACAGGTACAATATGTTAGTGGTAGAGTGTGATATACCAGTTGGTTTCTACCTGGGTTAGTTGGAAGAAAAGATGCAAGGAACGGCTTGACAGCAGCTGTCACCAGGACAATGGGATACAGGCATCTGCAACAGGGCTGATGTGATGATACATACTGTAATTGTCATTAAATTTGTAATTGTAAATGTCATTACATTTACACACCTTAAAATATGAGGCTTAGGGAATGGAGCCTTGTTTTTAGTCCCGGGTAAAAAGTCTGGTTTTGACAGGATTCAAACCAATGATACTGTAAAATAGAAGGCAATTAATTTAGGCTATTTCGACAGAAGGTGCAATAGGGCTTGTTGCTGTGTGATACAGGTTATAGGTATGTACAGTACAACTATTTATGGTAAAACATTGTGGGCCAAAAAATAATTTGATATTATCATTTTCACCCTTGTAAAATTTATAACTTCCTACTTGACTGTGTGAAATTATCTCAGAGTTAAAGTAAACAATACCACTGACATACCAGGGTTATAGAACAAACCCCAGGGGTCAGACTTTATCTTCCACAATATGGCTATACAGTACTTTGTACAGGAAAAACAATAATAAGACTAAACAAACAGATTGGACAGCTATGTCTCATGGTATATGTAGGTCTCTGTCAATAAAACCTCGAAAACAGATTAAACATGTTTTATATTCTGTGTAAGTAGCTCTAACAATTGCATTTTCTCTTTTATACTTTAATACTTCTGGGATCAAGCAAGGTAATCAAAAGAGAAAGTTTAGCAAACTACTTCACATTTCTATTTTATTGTACACAGAAGTTTATAATGAACATCGGTTGTTTAGCAGAAATACAGTCTATTGTAAACAGTGAATGTAGTGTTTGGAGTCCCCTATGGTTTGCATTGGAATAGAGTTAAGACTACCACCTACATACAGTACACCTTGAGTACACACTCTACCCTGCTTCCTACACTGTAAGTAAATACAAATATCTTCCCCATATGACCAAGAACGTACATTTATTAAAAATTTATTAAATACTAATAATTACTTACATGCCATATATGATTTTAGTGTATATTTTATTAATTATTGCCTCATTTGATACAGACATCCCCAATCTAATGGCAAGAATGGTTTTTCTGTAAAGTTCAATAATGACAGACTTTTGGAGTATTTTTGCCAAGGGAGAACTACATTCTAAAAAACATATCAGTTATTCATATCAGCAATAGTGTAAGTTGGAAAATTGGAAAGTACAATACACATGTTTAAATCAATTAGTATATTCCAAATGTAGTATTAGTTAGTATGTTAATAAAAATATTATAGGATAAAACAATGATCTATGTTTTAATCTCGCTCATCCAGTGACTTCAACACAAAGGTCTATTACATATTTTTAACTACTCTATATAGTACAGTAGACACACACAATAAATGGTTAGACTCTTAGTAAGGTAAGGATAATGGTGTATCTACTGTAAATAATTTTTTTATATCCCAGTACTACTGTACACTACATAATCATTCCTGATGATGACATAGTTAATGTTGAAATATTGAATCCTGACACGATGGTGTGCATTCAGATATTTGGAGTATGTATTATACTATTTTACACTGAAATAATGTACAGTAAAAATAACAGGAATTAATATCTCAGTCATGGTCATGTGTTTTGCATTGGTTTACCACAAAATGTTCAGAACAGGAAAAATGAATTGGTAAACAATGAGATTAATTGAGGAAAATACAAACCTTTGGTATCCAATTTAATGACTGTACACCTAATAAAGTTATGCATTACTATTGAATTCCCCAGATTTATATTAAGCTTTTGATGGCATAATCAATAATCAGTATAAAAATTTATTTACCTTGGAAGGCAAAAATGCCATAAAAAAACGTTTTAGAGAGATAGGCCTATATAGTACTTAAAAATACTACACCCATTTGTATTTGTTGTTGTATTACTATGGCAATGGTTTGTTGTTAAAGGAGTTTTTTTCGGCTTAACAATAAAATGAATTGAATTAAATATAATGCAACAATCACAGTGCTTAAAAAAATGAATGACAGGTCAACTCTTAACCTGGAATAGTTATAGAATCTTTGAAAATCGTGATAACTCTTGCAAAACCAGGAATGCTAATGGAATTTTAACCTATTAAAAATAAAAGAAACTGAAAATAAACAGATAAATTTCACTAATGCAGTAAGTAAAGTTTGCAGTACATTATTACTGTAAATTTTAATTTAAATGGAATATACTTAATAGAATGAATAAAATGGAATAAACAAAATAGTAAACAAGTAAAACACATAAATTAAATAAAAAATGTTAATGAATAAATTTACATTATAATTCAAGTATTAGTCGGTGTTGATTAGTATTGTAGACCTTATAATCATCAATGTAATTATATATTTCAGAATATTCAATGCTTCCAAATAAAAGTGTACATGAAATGTTTAAATGACAATTTAATTTTTAAAATGACAATGAGAATAATAAAAAAAAAAAAATCAATTGTTAGTAAATACTGTAATTCCAAAATGTATTCTTACCAATATCCTCAAATGCTTTAGAATAAAAATGCAAGAAATGTTTCAGTGACAAGAATAACAGCATTTCAACAAGACTAAACAACAACAGTAACAACAAAAACAACAAAACAACAATTTTACACAGTTGATGAGTAAGACCTATTTTTCACAATTTTGCACTAAGAATTCCTGAGCCACAAGGTTTGGGATATGAAAAAATAATTAAAATTAGTTTCTTATTTTAAAAAAAAACATGAAAATGTTCTAAAAACAATTTTCTGAAGTAGCAGAAGCCACATTATTTAATTTAAACAAGGAGGTATATACTGTACCTCCATGATTTAAAGTAAGCATTTATAGTAAACTATATTAAAAATAGTCATCAATGGACAAAGAATAAGAGATTACAAACCTTTGAGGTAAACATGTAAAGAAGCCTTTGAAGTAATTTTTCCACATGCATTTGTAATCTCAACAACATAATCACCACTATCCTCCCTTGAAACATCGCAAAGCAAAAGTGAAGTCACTGTTTCTTCTGTACGTATAATACAAAGTTTATTTTCTGTCAAAGTCCGACCATCTTTGCACCATCGAATTTCATCCGGTGGGGGATAACAATGAAAACGACAGTCAAACATTACAATGTCACCCTCGTCGACTTCTGTATCGATTATTTGGCGTATTAAACAAGGTGGTTCTTCAACATATTGGTAATAGAGTTCGGGAGCATGGATCTCGCGGGAATAGAATTCAATCTCCATGCACTTTCCTGCTTCCTCGTCTGTGATTAACTGGCGCGTGACACAAACGGTCTCGTCTAACGAACCCATTTTATTTTTTAGTTTGATGGAAGTAGCTGGTTGAACGGTTATCAATTCCGTTTCATAAGACATTAATCAATATTATTTTTAGAAAACAAGGCACTTAAATATCATTATAGTGAAATTGCATAGATACAAATATTATGGAAGTAAAATAATAAGGCATATGTATCAAAAAAGTCTTATTTTGGTTTCTTGAGAATTGTGATGTTACAGTTTTACTGTAAATTTTGAAGCACCATTTGCTTAAATATTAACTTTTAAATCCCTATTAGCAATTAGTAATGTATTCATATGTCGTAGATAGGCTCCAAACGTGACCCAATGCAATCAAACTGCAGATAGGTAAGATCCTCAAATTAGATAAATCGTCTAAAAATTCCTGCACAAATTGAGATATGAAAGCCAATTTCTTTTTATATACTTTCTAAAATAACGGCTATCAAATCTTCTGTTACTATAGCATCAATCCTAGGAAAATCTTGCCAATGTCTACGGTTGAATAAATCAAGTTGAACCGCTCTTCGCTAGATGTCTTCCTTATGTCTGGGATAATTGTCAATTAAAGACTATACTTATTATATACATATAGGCATATACATTCAAAACATCCCATCTTTCCTTCTTCCTGTTCCGTTTCCTTTGCGTATTCCACAGCAAAACAATCAAAGAGAAAGGACGTCCAATATTGCGTCACTGAGTGACAGGCAAACTTTATTATCCCTAATACAACCACAAATTGTACCTATGTGATGAGAGTTTGATAGGTACTTGAGCTGTCTGGCTTCCTGCTACAATTTAGATCCTGGAAAGTGGGTGAAACATACAAGTCCTTGGTTGTTTAATACGAGAAACCCCAGAGTTCACATTCAAGCCAAGCTAAAAACCCATAGACACAATAGGCTGCTAGCTGGATCAGTATTATATAGGGAGAGCTGCATTCCCTACAACAAACCTGAGTATGGTATTCCCAGAACAGTAGCTAGATTGAGTGACACCTCCTGCAATGTAATATCAACAAGTGGGAAGTGATGATCAGGAACTCCAAATGACCTTATTGTAAATAATAACAATCTAACTTCAATGATATCAAATCTCCAGATAGTGTTGCCGACCAAACCAAACCTGTTTAATCTGTAGACTTTGCTTCAATTAACACAAAGTCCTGAGGAAATTCAACCAGTTTCCTTGAAAGAAACTAGAAGAAATCACTGACATACTGTATTGTAGGCCTAGACAGGAGTATGAATCCAACAATTACAATTTAACAGGTAGTTGAAAGTAGAGCTGGTATTCAGCATTGATGATTAAACATCATTGTTTACACTAACAAGCAGTCCTTCCACCAATCCATTATAATATCCTTAATAATGTCCCTTAATCCTTTGCTTCTTGAGATTAGCACTACAGAATGAGAGGGAAAGCGGTGGGCTTTGTATTCAAGCATTCCCCTTACTAAGAATGAGGTCATCCCTATGATTCTACATTGCTTGATACAGTATTCAATGGGTTGGCTCAACCATTATCAGCAACAGGGGTGTTTTGTAAATATTGAATTTGTCTGAAATCCTACTGTACAGAGTGAACATGAGGGGGCTAAACAGGGTTGAAGACTACTTTGCTCATGGAGATATCGCCTCAAAACCATAAGTCATAATTAGTCACTGACCTAGTTATAACTGGTGATTTTTTTTTTCATTTATTATTTAGAGGCAACATACAAAAAAACAAGTACAAAGCAAGCATAGGAATAACCTTCAAGTAAGGCCCAATAAAAAAAATTATTAGTTTATCACCCTCCCGTGCATGTCTTTCATGGTACTGGAAAAAAAAAAAAAATTTTGAAATTTTTTTAATTTCTTTTATTTATTTTTTTCATTAATTTTTTATTAAATAGTTAGAAGATATTGTTTGCATTATCTAAATCATGTTCTACTTTGAATATCAATGCACCAGCAAACAACCCAAGGGTGATATTTGGCTTTAGCAAAATAAAAAATAAAATAAAAAAACCTCCCTCCCTTATCACTTTTCCTGCCCAGATAGGGTGATAAACTAATAATATTTTTTATAGGGCCTAAACTTATTATAATTACTATTGAGAAGCTTTCCCCTATCAGTTCCCCTATAAAATGGCAATTGTTGTCATGAGTACTGATAATGATGACAACAATGGATGACCCCTAAGCAGACTTTGAGGCACTGAGATTTTGCCTAATAATACTATTACAAATGAGTATAATAGGCTTTAGTTAACGACAAACAATGACATACGTAATGTCTTAACTATTAGCCTCCTGTGTGTTTATCAGGATAAATATCTAAAATCAAATTAGGCAGTATCCTTAAGAAATTGGGATACCTACAAATTTGGGACATTTTTACCAAATTAGGAACACTTGAGCAACAAAAAGCACTCCTCAAGCTTCCTGTAGCAGGGTTAGTGTTTATATTTTTCCTTAGATATGATCACACTTCTGTCATCTTTCTTTAGTCTACTGTATGTGCATTGATATATTGATGGACACTGAAGCATGTAAAATGTTGTTTTGATTTTACAGGAGCAGCTTTGTGTTATCCTGAAGTACTGTAAAGTTAATTTAAAATATATTTTTCGTTTTAATGAAAACATCTTTCTGATAACAATCACATCATCTAAGATTGAAGAAAAGAAAGTATCATCACAATCAAACACCACCATCTTCATGTTCAAAAGGCAATTAATACTAAAATGCATTAGCAGGCCATGAAAAAATAATGTTCAGAAAAATACATTTTTTAACTCCCTCATGATTAACAGAAGTAGAAGCAAAAACAAAAGCATATGTAAACTTGGATACAAATATTTTGCAAGATTTTCTAATATATAAAATTTCAGTATAAAATTATTATTTTATTATTACTGGTATGCTGTATAGTAAAAATATATGTTTTCAAAATATTAAGCATTATCCTACACTATTAAATTTTGCATTGGAGAAGGGTTTGCATATGGAATCAGGTCAAACTAGGTTATGAGATGATTAACCCTCCAAAGAAATTATTGCTTATCCTATGGGAATACTATCCAGACTCACAGGGAAACATAAATCAGGACATGATTTTCCTAAATCCTTCCTTCATATAATATGTTGCTATGGAGACAAATATGAAGCTAAGGAGCCTCAACCTTTTTGTCATGTAATATTAAAAAACAAGTTAAGTTGACATTGATTTTAACATGTGGTGTTTCCAAGATCTGCAAACTGGGGAAGCTGGAACACTGTTTTCTTTATCTTATTCTATTCAATACATATTACAGAGTACTGTCTTTGTACATTGGCGGATCAGCCTTTCTTTCAATCGGTTGCAGACCAATGTGCTATAGTTATATGG